AAAAAAAAAAGAAAGAAAGAAAGAGAAAAAGGCATTAAACACCCCAGCTGACTGTCAGTATGAATGTTCCCTTCCCTGCCTCTGAGAAGAATCTCTACTGCAGTATTGTGGTCAGGTTAACTGCAGGGACTTGAAAGGCTAATCCTGCCCCTGAGTACTTAGGTTAAGAAGGACAGATCCATAAGAATACAATTCTATAAAAAAAGATGGGAAGGCTGGACACCAGTGGCTCATGCCTGTAATCCTGGCATGAATGAAACTTATGCTTCCCAGTTACTCTATGCCCTACCATATTCTGCAAGTAATGAAAACAACTCATCTCCAAGCAGTTCACATGCATAATAAACCTTAATGCTAGTGCCTAACATGGTGGCACTTCTCAGCCTCCATGTACATTCTTAAAGCATTGCTATAAACCAGTTCTCAGAACTCTTTGCTTTTTCCTCTGGTAATGGTCCATGAGAATTTCTTCAGCTTCTGATAGAAAGTGATCTGGGAATGTCATTTCTGAGCCTGGCAAATGGAACAGGTTGAGGCAGGATGAAGAGCTGAACTGATAAAAATGAGCTGAAACCCTATCATCACCAAGCTATACCAGAGTGCAGTGGCATGCCAGGAGGCATGCCTGGAGGCTTCCCTGGTGGAGGAACTCCTCCTTCCCGCGGTGCTTCCTCTGGGCCCACCATTGAAGAGGTTGACTAAGGCACCCTAAACATACATGTAGCATTGTTCCACACAATAAAGCATTTAAAAGCCCAAATTTAGTGACTTGTATAGCAGTTTTTAAAAGTTAAGCTGCTGTAGTAAATTAATGGGCATTCTCAATACTTGAATATGGAACATGTACACAGGGAAACATATGAACATTGCACTTTATAAAGCACTGTATTGCAAGTGGAAAATGCAATGTCTTAAATAAATATATTTAAAATGGGCAAAAAAAAAATCAAAGATGAGCTGAATTTGAGAAAGGGGTATTCCAGGTATCTTTGCAAGGGATTTTTGGTTCATTCTATTCCTTGCATACTGAAGCTCTAGTTTTCAAAATTTCACTATGAACATGACTCACTTGGAGACAACATCAAAGTGGTGATTCCCCCAAAGAGTTTTGGCTCCAGCATCTCTATAGTAGAACACTGGAAAGTATGCTCTAAACTCCTATCTCAAGCAACAATTGTGATGTGATTGAGACACTTTAAGAAACAGCACATTAGCAGCAATGAGTTTAGAATATGAATGGGAAATGGTGACTCATGACATCAGCAATGACCAGAGAGCCTAGATCCTCAGTCCTGGCTTGCTACTGCTGTTCTCTTAACTCACTATTTCTCCATTCACTTCACTAAAATCGCAAAACTTAAAATTTTCAGGATTAATGCCTCCCTCTTGTCTGGGCTATTTTTTGTTTTTTGTTTTTTTTTGGTCAGTCGGTAGTAGGGCTTGAACTCTGGGCTTGGGCACTGTCCTTGCGCTCTTCAGCTCAAGGCAAGCACTCTACCACTAGAACCACAGCGCCACTACCGGTTTTCTAGTGGTTTACTGGAGATAAGAGTCTCACGGACTTTCCTACCTGGGCTGGCTTTGAACCTCGATCCTCAGATTCCAGCCTCCTAAGTAGCTAGGATTACAGGCATGAGCCACCAGCACCCGGCTTATTGTCTGTGCTATTTTGACTTAGATATATTTTTGTTTTTCTTTCTTTCTTTCTCTTTTCTTTTTGGTTGGTCATGGGGCTTGCACTCTGGGCTTGGGCACTGTCACTGAGCTTTTCAGCTCAAGGCTAGTGCTTTACCACTTGAGTCACAGCTCCATTTTTGGTGTTTTGTGGTTAATTGGAAATAAGAGTCTCATGGACTTTCCTGCTCGGGCTGGCTTTGAACTCTGATCCTCAAATCTCAGCCTCATGAGTAGCTAGGATTACAGGCATGAGTCACCAGTGCCCGGCCAGGACGTAGGGCCTAAACTCTGGGCCTGGGCACTGTCCTTCATCTCTTCAAGCTAGCTCAAGGCTAGCACTCTACCACTTGAGCCACAACGCTACTTCCGACTTTTTTTTTTCTGCTTATGTGGTCCTGAGAAATCGAACCCAGGGCCTCAAGCATGCAAGGTAAGCAACTCTACCACTGAGCCACTTTCCCAGCCCTAACTTAGATATACTTTTGAGGTAATAAAATAAAAATTCTTGCTGGGCACCAGTGGCTCGCACCTGTAATCCTAGCTACTCAGGAGGCTGACATCTGAGGATGGCAGTTCAAAGCCAGCCCAAGCAGGAAAGTCCATGAGACCCTTATCTCCGATAAACCACTCAGAAAACTGGAAGAGGTGCTATGGCTCAAGTGATAAAGCATTAGCCTTGAGGAGTGGGGGCCGGGGTCCAGGTGCAGAGTTCAAGCCTTATGACCGACAAAAAATAAAAAATAAAAAAATAAAAATTCTCTTTCTTTAAATACATCCTATTTTTTCTATCTCTAGAGGATGTTAAATGAATTTTTTTTGGCTTAGATGTGTATTACACTCTGTGAATATTCTATAAAATAGAAGTAGCTATGGACACAAAAACAGCATCCATCTGGAGATCTGAGTTCTACTAAGAGCTCTACTTCAATTAGCTGTGTAGATCAGGAGTGGTCATATCACCTTTGGGACTTAAAAATCCTCATTTGCGCAAATACAACTTTGTATAAAGTGAATACCAATCACTCTAGCTGTCCAGCTGTCAGATGAATGTTCTCTTGCTGTCTGTGAGAAGAATCTACTACAGTATTGTGGTCAGGTTAACTCCAGGGAGAATGGCTGAAGTGTGGAAGCAGGTGCAAGAAATGAGCAAGAACACATATCACCAGATTACTAATAGGCAAATCACTGAGTAGTCAGCTGAGTAAAATACCTTCTGCTCCTATCAATATCTTCAAATTTCATTCACAGCTAGTCTTCCCTTACTGTTTATTAATGTGGATCTTAAATATTACTTTTTTCATAAAAAGAAGTACTCTCCCCTTCTGGTTTTAAAAATGATTTATAGACCACAGAAACTATGAGGTTCTCAAGCCTGATAACTCAGTGAATTATTTGACCAAGATAACTCAGCTGGTTAGTGGCAGACAGTTCTGCAGGCCAATATTTTTAGACCTGGGGAGTAATGACCACTACAGGGTTAAGATCCCGCGTCTTAACTATCACTTTTAGGCAAATAAAACATTAAATAAGAACTGTCAGCTGTATTACGCATAGTCAGCATAAACCATTGTTATTCCTGAGACCTGTTTGCATGAATGTGTGTCCATATATGCATAAAATGGATTGTCACAAAAAGTCTATTGGTTTACTAAAATTTTAAAGTTTGGGGAAACTGCTGTATTCCACTCTGAGACTTCAAAAGTGATTCAGAACATCTGAGCTGGACTTTCAAAAATCTATTTTAACCTTATTGGGGCCAGAGAGAATTCCACATTCTCTACCAGATTTTTAAAGCAATATTATCTCCAGTATTTTTTTTTTTTTGAGACGGAAAATAAAAACCTGAGTCTGTGAAAAGTCTTACTTCAAAGGAAATGTCACAAGCAAGACAATGTGGATGATATATTCATTTGTGATGTAGTCTTTTGAACTGAAATGTGGAAGTGGAAAAGGCAAAGGATAAGGAATTGAATTTATAAATGGAGGAAAAGACCAAAAAGCACAACAGTGAAAATGGTTAAGTAAATTATGACACCAAGTTTTGTGATAGTCACACAGTCACATAGCACTTGGTTTTATTTTGAGCCCATTACTCTTCCAGTTTCCAGAAAGGCTTTCCCCCCCTGGCCTAAAATATTCTCTTCCCTAACCTGGACTCCAAGAATGACAGTATAGCAGAGATCCAGAGCATTCTTAAAAGGTATAGGTCATGATGGGAAGTTCTTTTAATGACTAAGCAAATGAAGTTTCATTATGTCGAGGAATTTGAGGAAGTCCAAAAGTCCATGTTTTAAAAATATATTTCCTATTATCAATGCACACCTACTTTCTAGAATAAAAACCAAAGCCATGTGGGTATGTTGTTTACCATCTATGTGTTGTTTCAAGATAGGTCAGGGTGTTTAGTTGTCTTGAAAAGGCTTCCATCAGGAAACCAAGTGGCAGAATTTATTAAGGTGTCTGGATTCTACAGTTTAAGATCCCCTCCATCCCCCCTGTAGTACTGAGGTCTGAACTCAGGGCCTTATACTTGCTTGACTGGTTTGCTGTTTACAAGTTGGAGCTCTACCACCCGAGCCATGCCTCCATCCCCAAATAATCTGAATACTAAAGGTAAAAATCAAAATCTTGGCTTGTTTAAAATATATCAGGGATAAGTTTGCTGTAATCCGTTGAACTTTTTACATTTAAATTTTATTGTCAAGATGATGTACACAGGGGTTACAGTTACATAAGTTAGTACATTCCTTGTCGAACTTGTCACCCCCCCACTCTCATTTTTCTCCCACTTTCCCTCCCTCCCCAACGCCCCCTACCCCCGTTGTTGTTTTTAGGTACTATGTGATTTCTTTTTTCTTTTGTGTTTTTGGTTCACACTATGGTTTATCCCCTGTTGTCACTGTATTTGATTTGATACCCTGGGTATGGTATATACATTTGGCTGAATTAGGGAAGGGAAGGGGGAAAAAATGGTGAGACAAAGGACAAAGTTGGGGAATGAGCGTAACCGCGATACTCACATAACCACATGTTGGAAATGGTCTGTAAATCTTTTGAACTGTTTTTGTTTGGTCCTGGCTATGCTTAGCACTTGAACTTTGCCCCCCCCCCCAAGCATTTTGTTTGTATTTTGGTTTTTGAACTAGGTCTCTTGGGGGGCTCTTCTTTCTCAAAGGCTGGGCTTAGGGGTGTGGCGTACACCGATCCTTTTATTCATTTTTTGAGAAAACCCAGACCGTAAGCTCCACTTTTGGTTTCGTTTACATCTGACGATCTCTTTCCTCTCCACTTCCTCCCCCCCACCCCGCCCTCTGCCCTGGGAGGGGAAACTGACTCCCAATTCTCCAATTCTTTGCGCTCAGCTGGTTTTCTGGTTTTCCCCAGGAGGGGCTTCAGCCCCAGTGGGCGGAAATCTCTGGAGCCCAAAGTAATTAGCACCTGTCACCAAGGCGCCACTAGCGCCCTGCCTGCCTGAGCCTCGCGTACCCTCGAGTCTCCGAGTCTCTGCCGCGTCGCCGCCTGCAGGTAAGGAGCGGTCCCCACTGCCCTGAGTAAAGGCTGAGGCTAGACCCTCTGGCGATGGAGAGAAAAGGGGGCAAAGAGTGGAACGCGATGTTACTAGTTATTGCCGTTGCAACAATATGTCTGGCAACAATATAGCTGGCCTTTGGAAAAGGCATGGCGACGTGGATGTATTGCTTTACTGTCAGCCTTATATGCTTATGTGAAATGTGATCTGGAGGTGGATTAGCTGGAGTGATAGAGAAATTCCTAGTCTGGACTGATTCTGGATGTCTAGGTCTGGCATTTGGGGTAATTCATGCTGCTATGGTCTCCTTCCTGCCCTCAGATACAGGACTCTGGAGCCTAAATTCATTGCTCTATCTGTTCAGAGGACCTTAAAGGCATTGGAGAAGCCTGAGTGAAAATGTTAAAAATAGTTCCTAGACATCTTGACATTGTCCTAAATAAAAGCTCACATGCCTCCCCCCTCTCTCCCCCCCCTCTTCCCCCTCTTTCTTTTTCTCTTTCCCTCTTTTTTTGTCAATCCTGGGGCTTGAACTCAGGGCCTGGACACTTCCCCAGAGCTTCTTTCACTCAAGGATAACACTCTACCATGTGAGCCACAGTGCCACTTCTGGCTTTTTCTGCGTATGTGGTACTGAGGTATTGAACCCAGAGTTTCATGCGTGGTAGGCAAGCACTATACCACTAAGCCACATTCAATACTCCTCCCCCCCCTTTTTTTTTTCCAGTCCTGGGGCTTGAACTCAGGGTCTGGGCACTGAGCTTCTTTTGGCTTCTTTGCTCAACCACTTGAGCCAGAATACCATCTCCACCTTTTTCTGTTTATGTGGTACTGAGGAATTGAACTCAGGGCTTCATGCATGCTAGGCAAGCACTCTATCACTAAGCCACATTCCCAGCTCAGTTGTCTTATAAAAAGGAGTAAGAAATTGGGCTCATGCCTGTAATCCTAGCTACTCAGGAGGCTGAGATTCGAAGCCAGCCTAGGCAGAGAAGTCTGAGACTTGTATCTCCAATTAATCACAGAAAAAGTCAGAATTGGCACTGTGCCTCAAGTGATGAGTGCTAGCTGTGAGCAAAAGGACCTCAGGGACAGCAGCCAGACACCAGGACAGGCAAAAATAAAAGAAAACAAAAAGGAATAAGAGAACAGATATTCTACTATTTTTAATCTGAATAAATTACTGTAGATGCATTTTCTTTTCCTTTCCTTTTCTTTTCTTGAACTCATGGCCTGGACACTGTCCCTGAGCTTCTTTTTGCTCAGGCTAACACTCTACCACCCAGGGCTTCATGCATGCTAGGCAAGCACTCTGCCACTAAGCCACATTCCCAGCCTATAGATGTGTTCTCTATTAATTAACTATCCTTATAAATTTGTGTGTGTGTGTGTGTGAGAGAGAGAGAGAGAGAGAGAGAGAGAGAGAGAGAGAGAGAGGGAGAGAGAGAGACAGCACTAGGACTTGAACTCTGGGTCAGAATGCTCTCCTTTAGTGTTTTCATTCAAGGTTGGCACTTTACCACTGGAGCTATAGCTCCACTTCTGGCTTTTTGTAGGCTAATTAGAGATGAGAGTATCAAAGAATTTCCTTCCTGGACTGGCTTTGAACTGAAATCTTTATATCTTAGCTTCCTAAGCTAGCTTGAATTACTGGCATGAGCTGTTAGCACCCAGATGCTTTCTAATATTTTTAATATATTTTTTTGGTTGGTCATGGGGCTTGAACTCAGGGGACTGGGTACTCTTCCTGAGCTCCTTTGCTCAAGGCAGCACTCTAGCTTTTTGAGCCACAGCACCACTTCTGTTTTCTTAGTGATTAATTGGAGATAAGAGTCGGGAACTTTTCTGCCCAGGCTGGCTTCGAACCACTATCCTCAGATCTCAGCTTACTGAGTAGCTAGGATTGCAGGTGTGAGCCACTGGTGCCCGGCTTTTAATTGTTTTTCCCCAGCCTGGAGGCTTGAACTCAGGGCAAGGGCACTCTCCCTGAGTTTCTTTTGCTCAAGGCTAGCACTCTACCACTTGAGCCACAGTGCTACTTCTGGTTTTTTCTGGTATGTGATACTGAGGAATGAAACCCAGGGCTTCATGCATGCTAGGCAAGCACTCTATCACTAAGCCACATTCCCAGCCCTAATTTTTTATTGTTATTATAAAGAGGGGTTACAGTTACATATGTCAGGTAATGAGTACATTTCTTTTTGGACAATGTTACCGCTTCCCTTGCTTTCTCCCCGTTTCCCCTCTCATTCCCACCCACAAGTTATATAGTTCATAGTGAGTACCTCTAATAAGTTTTAATTTATACATTTCATCATATTGGCTAACCAAATGAGATAAATCTCATATTGCTAGATCTAGAGGTTATGTATAGTAGTTCATGACTTTTGTTACATGTAACACTTTGGGACATTGCTAGCTATTTACTCATATAAACTCTTAGAAACCTAACTACTGAGTTAGTGTCTAAAAGGCCTTTAGTGAAATCTGAAAATTGCTCTCCAGAAGGGATGTCAGTTGATCATGAATATGACCAAAAGTATTTAAGGAGAACTATGGTATCATGCAGAAGAAATCAGCCTTTTTCAGTGGAAGAAGGCAAGACAGCAGTTAAGAGTGGTCTTTAAGAAAGCCACCAACATTCTGTGGGGAACTGAAGCAAATGTAAAAAATATGTCTCAGTGTGACTAAGGGGAAAAGTGTTTGGGCACAGGACTTAGTAAAGCTTGATAGAGCTTGATATTTTGTAAAGATTCAATAGGTCAACTCTTTTTTACGGGGGGAGGGATAGTGGTGGTGCTTGTCCTAAGGATTGAATTTAGAGCCTAAATGCTGTCCATGAACTTCTTTTGTTCAAGGCTGGTGCTCTACCACTTAAGCCACAGTTCCACTTCTGGCTTTATTTTTATTTATTTATTTATTTTGTAGTTGAACAGGGATAAGAATCTCACAGACTTTCCTGGGGGGTTGGCTTTGAACCTGGATCCTCAGATATTAGTCTCCTGAGTAGCTAGGACTACAGGGTGAGCTGCTGGGGCCAGCTTAGATCAATTCTCTTATAACTTAGTCTTACTTTGTTTTCCTCCTGGCCAGCCAACCCTGGGAAGAGAGGAATGCTATGGCTTCCATAGCATAGTACTGGACTTCCCCTAGGGACAAACCCACTTCCCTATCTCTGAATGATACATCATTACTTCCCTAGTTCACCTTTACTGCTCTGTGAATGTCTTTTGTTCTTATGAGAAATCCACACTTGGTTACAGTGACTTACTGGAAATAGGAGCATTGTTGTTGTCTACATTCTTTTCTTAGGCTAATTACCCTGGTGTGGGGTCTAGAAGTCAAAGAGTGTTTATTTACACAATAGTTTCCATTCTTGTCCCCCCCCCCACTCCCCTCATTAGTGACTGTTGTATTCCAAGAGAACGGAGTCTTGCTGGACAAAAGATGATGACAAAATAGGTAATTGTAGAATCAGATCTATTACCTTATTATCACACCTAAAATTTTCTACCAGATGCATTAAATGATAAGAACTGCACAAGACTCTCCTATAATCATTGGCATCATTAGGCATGATCCTTCAGGGATTTCCAGTCCCTTGGTTTTATTCAGTAATGCTTTGCTTAGAGTTAGTGGTAAAATGCTCCAGTTTGGGACCCCAAAAAGACCACCAGAGACCAAGATCGATGTAATCAGCAGCCAGGTATTAATTGTGAGCTAGCTCGGTCCTCTGCACACACAGCAAACAACTGGTGACGCAGAGAGGCCCCGAGCCTAGGATTTGCAGCAGTTTTATACAGTCTTTGGGGAAGGCTGGGGCTTTGCACTCATCATATCATCCCTTGACAAATCAACAGACACCACAGGAAAATCATAAACCGTCTCTAAAACATGATTTGTGTGAGCAATGGTGGGAAGGAATCTAGAAAGGGTTATTGGTCAGATCAAGGGCTGTGGTAAGGGAGTACGTGCAGAACTGCTGGACTTTCTGGTTAGATATTGGTCACCACTCCTAGGTGGGGGTTGTCTGGAATCTCAGACAATTCACCTTCGGCTTATCTTAGGCAAGCACCATCTGCAGTTTTCCAAGAACTGTTTGCACGTAGCTTTCTGCAGTATTTTCTGGCTTTAGGACTGCAGTAGGTTAGAGGCTAAATTTCAGAATAAAATGAGGTCCCAGGTAAATTATTGGTCAGGTCTTTCAGTAGTATCTTATGTGTTTTTCTTTTTTTAGCCAGGCCTGGGGCTTGAACTCAGGGCCTGGGCCTTATTCCTGAAGTTCTTTTGCTCAAGGCTAGCACTCTACCACTTGAGCCACAGTGCCACTTCTGGCTTTTTCTGTTTATGTGGTACTGAGGTATTGAACCCAGGGCACTCTACTACTAAGTCACAACCCCAGCCCCTCTTAAGTGTTTTTCTGAAGCCTCATGTGCTCTCAGGTCTAGATGCTATACCTCCTCTCCATCTATAGGGAGGATAGAGAGAAATAAAAATTGTGTTTCTGGTACTAGCAAGAGGACAATGACATATTTTGAGCATCATTTTGGGGAGGGGAGGAAAGGGCTATGTAGCCCTGGCTGGCCTTGAACTGGTAGTGATCCTCTTGGCTCAGCCTTTCAAGTGCTGGTGCTAATACACATATCTTTTTTTTTTTCTTTTTTTTGACACTAAGGGTTCATACTATTACTCTTTGATAAGAAAACCAGTACTATAAACAGACAAAGTGGTAATGCCCAAAGAACTGAACACTAAACAAATCGATGAAAAAATTCCTGTTTTAATTCTTGGCAATCCAACTAGAAAACAGTATTAGTGTCTGACTCTGGTGGCTTTTGTAAGGAAACGCCCACCTTGCAGGCCTAATCTCTGCCCTCAATGGCAGCACCTGTGCCCACTTCCAGCCTCCAATATAAAAGGGGCCTCCAAAGAGCCAGACGGCGCCATTTTCTCCCTTTCCTCATGAGAACTTGGCCTTCTCTGTTCTGCTGGCAATAAATCTTTCCTCCTACTTAATTTCAGTCCGTGTGGTCTTTTAGGTTACTTTCTTTGGGTTACTTCCTTCCCAGGTTTTACATTTTCTCCTTCAGTTTATGCCTATAATCCCAGCTACTCAAGAGGCTGAGATTGGGGGACCATGATTTGAAGCCAGCTCAGACAGAAAAGCCCATGAGACTTTCATCTCCAATTCATCAAATAAAAACCTGAAGTGAAGGTATGCCAGCCTTGAGTGAAAAGCTAAGGAAGGGTGTGCTGGCTCTGAGTTCAAGCTTTAGTACAAGCACAGTGAAAAGAAATAGGTAAACACGTAACCCATATTAGCACTAGGTAAAAATTACAATGTTATGTTAACAGTTTTCAGCATGTGTCAAGAACTATTCTTTCTCCTTGATTTACAATTCCCTTTAGGAAAATGTATCCTCAAGGCCTAGCCTGGGCTTAGTATACAATAACTACTAAACAAATGCTTGGTGAATATACAAATAGGTATGGAAACAATATTATACATAATAAGGGAAATAAATATCATAGGACAATTAAATAAGATGTTTGTGAATATTATGCAGCAACAGATATCATAATCTTAAATAAAATCAGTATTTAATGTATAATAAGACAATAGTAACTTTTAAGGATTAATAGGGAAAAAGACTGAATGAATGCTTATTTTCTGAAATGCTCATGGTAACTGCACAGTTTCTCAATCTTGACTCTATGGACATTTTAGACCAGATGTGTCTTTGCTGTAAGGGTGCTGTCCTGTGCCTTGTAGGAGGCTTAGCTGCATGTTTGGTCTCTAATTCTTATTTCCAATAGCAACTCTCCTCCATTACCAACCTCTTTTGACAACCAAAATGATTCGTGGGTCATGGTTTGAAGCCAGCCTATGCAGGAAAGTCCATTGAGACATTTGACTCCAATTAGCCACCAAAAAGCCAGAAATGGAGGTATGGCTCAAGTGGTAGCATGCTAGTTTTGAGTGGAGGAATAAAAGCTCAGGGCTAGCACACAGACCCTGAGTTCAAGGCCCAGAACCAGTACGTGCATGTCTGCATGTGCACACACATACACAAATGCATCTAATGATTTAGGCTATCAGGATATTCTCAGTCTGTGACTATTGATAGTAATATTATCTTTTTACACATATTCTTGTGTGTATATGTTTATTTGGAAGATTATGGTATTGCTTCCTGCCTAAGCTGACATCTGGGCCACAATTCACCTATTTTAGGCTTTTCTGTACTAGCCTGGGTAGCAGGTGCAAGCCATTGAGCTAAACTCTTGGTTCAAAAAGGTATCTTATCAACTTCTCTATCCAGGCTCACCTTGAACCACAGTCCTACCAATCTCAGACTCCTCATTAGCCAGGATAAGTGAGCTACCTGTTCCTAGCAACATTTAAAATATTAACAGATTACCAAGTTGCCCTAAAAAATAGTTCTTCATGTTCCTATCACTACTTCATGTTCCTACCACTAGTGGGGAAGAAAGCCTATTTAACCATATCCTTACAAACACTAAATATGAGGAATATTTATGACTTTGGTCAAGCTAATAAATGAAAGATGGTATCATATTTTAAATATACTTTTAAAAAGATTTTATTAGCATAAATTAGTAGTGCAAAGGGGATTTCATGGTGGTGTTTTCATAGATGTATACAATGTATCCCCTAATCAATTAAGTATATATTTTTTATTGGTAAATGAACATTCTCTGCTATGTTTACTTCTTTTTAAAATTTTATTGTAAAGATGCTGTCTGGAGGGGTCACCGTTACATGAGTAAGGCACAGAACATTACTTGTTGATCATTGTTACCCCTTCCCTTCCTTGTTGTTGTCCCATTATCCCTTCCCTCCCCAATGTTTACCTCTTATTTGTTATTCTCTGTGCTAAATATATAAACCTTTCCCTCATTTTCCTGTTTTTTTTTTTTTGGTCCGGTCGTGGGGCCTGAACTCTGGGCCTGGGCGCTGTCCCTCAGCTCTTCAGCTCAAGGCGAGCGCTCTACCACTTGAGCCACAGTGCCACTTCCGGCTTTTTTTCTTTTTGCTTATGTGGTGCTGAGGAATCGAACCCAGGGCCTCAGGCATTCAGGGCAAGCGCTCTACCACTGAGCCACCTTCCCAGTCCCCCCCTTTTTTTTTGTATTTCTTATTGATTTTTCAGGAGCTACATAATTATATATAAAATTGTATTAAAACTGTTCATCTGCTTTATACATGTATAACATTGATTGTGAAGTTGGAGAGACACTAAGTGGGAAAACTGACTTATCGAAGTGTGTAAATATATGTACAACACAAAGGAGGAAATACATTTACAATGGACAATGCAAATCTTTTACTCCTCTATTTGGATATAAGCCCAAAGATAAGAATGATATCTCTTTCTTGCTCATTGCTCTTTTTTCACTGCCTGAAATAGTGTAGTGTCTTGTGCAGTTCAGTGTTTGCTGAATGAAAGAATTAGTAAAACTTTAAAAATGGAGGCAGCAATCCAGGAAGATACTTCTGGAAAAGTAACATGAGACAGTTATACCTTAATATAAATTGGCTCAATCTAATCCTTTCTCCTTCCCACCCTCTGACACTAGTGAATGATCACTGAGAACATAGGCTGTACAATTTGAAGTGAGATGCAGAAGGTAAAATTTTGAAGAGTGAACCTGGGATAGTAAAGTGGAAATGTTTTTTTTTTTTTGTTGTTGGTCATGGAGGCCAAATTCTGGGCCTGGGCGCTGTCCCTCAGATCTTCAGCTCAAGGCCAGTGCTCTACCCCTTGAGCCACAGTGCCATTTCCAGCTTTTTTCTGCTTATGTGGTGCTGAGGAATAGAACCCAGGGCCTTATGCATGTGAGGCAAGCGCTCCACTACTGAGCCACCTTCCCAGCCCATAAAGTGGAAATCTTGAGTAGTTAAAGGATAACATGAACATACATGAACATATTTGATTGTAGGCGAGAAAAGGCATTGGAAGGTGGGAGGAATGGAAGTTAACTCCTTTTTTGCCTTGATATTTTTGCATGTTTGGGTTTCCAGATATGTTGCAATGAAAAGCCATAAAATAGCTGTGAGGATTTGGGTATAATGCCTTCTTCTTGGCTTTACTTTGAGTGCCCATTACATTTTTTTCCAGGGCCTATAACTAATTTTAATATGACTCTCATCATATGGCTTTAATGGGTCTGGGCTATTAAATGAAGTTATTGAACTTCCAAATCATTTGCTATGTTTCCACACAAATCAGTCCTAGTCTGGTTTTCAGTAGTACTTTAGTTTAGAAGTAGTTTATGCATAATTTTCTAACTTATTTTTAGGAGCTACTTATATATTAAAACTTTAATCTTCTAATACTGTCACATGGTGTGTTCACTTGAATAAATCACTCTTCTTTTTTATCTTTTCTATTATTAGGTAATTCCAGAAACATGAGGATACTTAGTATCTTTATATTTACAGCCTACTATAATTTACTTAATGGTAAGTAATCAAATCCTGTCATTATTTTCTGTATTTTAAATATTTTTAACCTTAAGTTAAAAACTAAAATAGTAATTTTAAGTGGATGTCATTTTCTTATAGGAAAATACTTTTTTTTTTCTTTTCCAGTGTAGGGGTTGAGCTCAGGGCTTTGCTCTGTCCCTGAGCCTCCTTGTGCTCAATGCACTCTATCACTTGACCCAGAGAACCTCTTCCAGCCAGAAGTTTATTGGAGATGAGAGTCTTACAAACTTTCCTGCCCCAGATGGCTTCAAACCGTGATCCTCAGATCTCAGCATCCTGAGTAGCTAGGATTACAGGTGCCATTGGCATCTGGCAATAAATTATTTTTTTCCCTTTATTTTATAAACAAGTCAGCCCTGTCTATATAAAGATAAAGAAATATAGGCAATCCAAAATTAGCAGATTACCCATTTCCCAGTTATAATTACTGGAAATTTCTGTGGAAATAGCCTATAGTAATACTTCAGCTTGTTTGTTATAAACAAGTCTGGGAACATTCTATATATATTGTTTATGACTTTTTTTTGTCTTTTGTGGGGCTTGAACCCTGGGCCTGGGCGCTGTCCCTAAGTTCTTCAGCTCAAGGCTAGCACTTTACCACTTGAGCCACAGTGCCATTTCCTGCTTATGACTTTCAATGAGATAGCTTTCCAATAAAGTTTATTTTTTTGTGCCAGTCATAGGGCTTGAACTTGAGACTTGTGTGCTGGCCCTAAGATTTTTTGCTCAAAGGTTAATGTTCTAGCATTTGAACTATGGTTCTACTTCAGGCTTTTTGGTTCTTAATTGGAGATAAGAGTCTCATGCCTATAATCCTAGCTACTCAGGAGGCAGAGACCTGAGGATCATGGTTTGAAGCCAGCCTGGACAGAAAAGTCCATGGGACTCATCTCCATTAACTGCTCAGAAAAAGCTAGAAGTGGCACTGTGGCTCAAGTGGTAGAGTGCTAGCCTTGAGTACAAAAAGGTTCAATGGCCAGGACCTGAGTTCAAGCCTCAGGATGAGCAAAAAAAAAAAAAAGTCTCAGACTTTTCTGCCCAGGCTGACTTTGAACTGCAATCCTCAGATCTCAGCCTCCTCAGTAGGTGGAGTTACAGGAATGAGCCTCCAGTTTCTGACTTCAATGAAGCTATTCTAAAGAACAATTCTAACATACATGGAAATCGTCAAGGTGACCCAGCATTGTCAACATCCTGAGACGCTGCCTAAATTTCTGGCCAGAGAACCAATGAAAATTTAAGGCAATAAGAAGGAAGGCCAATAGATGCTACTATTCAGTCTATTAAAAGCATGTAGGTGTTCAATCAAGGGACATTCTGGAGGATACTAAGTCTTTCTAGTTATAATTACTCCATTATTATATATTTTTATAGTAATATATTTATGAGTTATGACAACTTGCTTAGTTAATGTTATTTTATTATTATAACATACGAAAAAGGGCTGGGAAGGTGGCTCAGTGGTAGAGCACTTGCCTTGCATGCATGAGGACCTGGGTTCGATTCCTCAGCACCACATAAGCAGAAAAAAAAAAGCCGGAAGTGGCACTGTGGCTCAAGTGGTAGAGTGCTAGCCTTGAGCTGAAGAGCTGAGGGACATCGCTCAGGCCCAGAGTTCAGGCCCCACGACTGGACCCAAAAAACATACGAATAAGATATGGTGTTTGAATAGGTTTCAAGCCTATTGAATAAAATATGTTTTTTTTGTTGTTGTTGTTGGTTGTGGGGCTTGAACTCTGGGCTTGGGCACTGTCCCTGTACTTTTCAGCTCAAGGTAAGGACTCTACCACTTGAGCCACAATCCCACTTCTGGTTTTCTGGTGGTTAGTTGGAGATAAGAGTCTCAGGGACTTTCCTGCCCAGGCTGGCTTTGAACCGTGAACCTCAGATCTCAGCCTCCTGAGTAGCTAGAATTACAGGCATGAACCACTGGTACCCGACTAAAATATGTATTTTAAGGAAGCAAGTCCTTCAATAAAATGATCATGTAACTCACCAAGTGATATGATTTTAGGCTCTACACAGTTTGGAAATGTTCTGAGAAATTTACATGTTCTGATGGTTGTTCATCTTCCTTTGCAGCATTTACTATCACAGTGTCCAAGGACCTATATATTGTAGAATATGGCAGTAATGTGACGATGGAATGCAGATTCCCAGTAGAAAATCAATTAGACCTGATGTCATTGGTTGTTTACTGGGAAAAGGAAGAGAAGCAGATTATTCAGTTTGTAAATGGGGAAGAGGACCCGAAGGATCAACACAGTAGCTACAGGCAGAGGGCCTGGCTATTGAAGGACCAGCTCTTCAAAGGAAATGTTGCCCTCCATATCACAGATGTGAAGTTGCAGGATGCAGGTGTTTATTGCTGCATGATCAGCTATGGTGGTGTAGACTACAAGCGAATTACTTTGAAAGTCAATGGTAAGAATTATTAGAGATAAACAATTCTTTTTTTTTATTAAAAATATCCCAAAGTGTTGAGAGAGCTCTTTGTTCTTAGAAGTCTAGACTTTCCAACAGAATGACAGCAAGCTGTTCATTCATTCATTCATTTCATTCATTTATACACTCATATGAATGAACACACTTGAGCAAAGAAGGAACCTTTCTTGGACATCTTATCCTTGTCAACTACTGGAGATCCAGGAACCAAACAACACAGAGTCATGTACTATAGTAAGTTTTCCAAAAAAAAATTCCTGATTTTGCTCTTTTATATGGTAAACATAATACTTATATTTTCAAATAATACATATACTATGGCAGAGATGAAAATGAATTGCAAAAATGCCCCTCCTCCCTTCGCTACCAATAACCTTCTTCCCTTCACCACCATATTGGCATGCAGATATAGAAACCACTGTTTGTATGTTCCTCCAGGAACTTTTTTTATCCATTTACTATTATTGTACCATTAGTCATACCACATTTTCCTGCCTTTGAACCTCTTTGAACCAAATAAATATATAAAACTAATGCAATTGTTAAGTTTAAATTAAAATAAGGACTTGACATCTATCTAAGACAGCATAAAATAGTCATATGGAGAAAACTAATATTGCACAGAAATAGAACAAATTATGCTTACCAGGCATACATCATCTCAAGAATCTATACTGATGTTATGTTGAAGTGTAAAAGAGGAACTGTGAGTGTTAATTCCTGGGGTACTGACCCACAAATATGTCATCAGATCATTTGAGTTCAAACTTTGGGTTGGGATTAGGTAAGGGGAGAAAAATACCCACCACCACTGCTTTCACTGTTGAATTTCATAGAATTGAGATCTGCAAGGATTCCGGGCATGTGTAGTAATCCTAACTCCCACGAAAAACAGAAATCCCCACCAAGGGTCATATACTTCCCGCAGTGATACCTTTATCATTTGGAACTTTGTTGGATAGTTGAAATTTCTCTATATTGAGCTGAATCTGTCTTCTTTAGACATAGCTTTGAAATTATGTGCCTACTTCTTTTTTTTTTTTTGTCGGTCATGAGGTCTGAACTATGGGCCTAGGCGCTGTCCCTCAGCTCTTCAGCTCAAGGCTAGCGCTCTACCACTTGAGCCACAGTGCCACTTCCAGCTTTTTCTGCTTATGTGGTGCTGAGGAATTGAACCTAGGGCCTCATGCATGCAAGGCAAGCACTCATTGTGCCTACTTCTTTTGTTACTAGTATTTTGACTAGGATTAAACAGTTAAATAATTAAACAGTTAAATAGAATTAAATAATTTCCCCTTAGTCTTTTCATTCCTGAACTGTCATCAATAATATAAGCATGAAAAATTTACATTTATCATAAAGGTCACCAATTACTAAGAACTCAAACATAAAAAATTAGGCACTGGTAGCTCATGCCTATAATTCTAGCTACTCAGAAGGTTGAGATCTGAGGATGCAGGTTCCAAGCCAGCCCAGGCAATAATGTCTGTGAGACTTTTATCGCCAGTTAAGCACCAAAAAATCCAGAAAAGAAGCTGTGGCTCAAGTGGTAGAATGCTAGTCTTGAGCATAAACCTCGAGGCCCTGAGTTCAAACCTCACCTCAGGACTGGCAGCACAAAAAAAAAAAAGAAAAGAAAAGAGCATAAAACTACATAAAGATTACTTACCTATTTTATGATATATTACTAAGTCATTGATGCTGGATCAAATAATGCTATTATTAAGAAGATAGACTTGCTGCATGTTGGCTGCTCATGCCTGTAATAATCCTAGCTTCTCAAGAGGCTGAGATTTGAAGATCACGGTTCAAAGCCAGCCGGGGCAGCAAGTTTGTGAGACTCTTATCTCCAATTAACCATCAGAAAGCCGGAAGTGGCACTGTGGCTCAAGTGGTAGAGTGCTTGCCTTGAGCTGAAGAACTCAGGGACAGCACCCAGGCCCAGAGTTCAAGCCCCATGACCAATTGAAAAAAAAAAAAAGGAAAAGATGTCACTTATTGACATTTCCAGCTTTTTTTTTCAGTCAATCAATAGCTATCAGGTATCTATTATATTCTATATTCTAAATTATTTGAAGAAATCATCAAACTTTTAAGCCCATGAATAGTCAGCATTTTTAGACTGAGCTAGCAGAAAACACACCCACACACACACACACACACACACACACTAAAATATTATTTTGGCAGTTGGAAACAAGGAAGAATAGAGTTTAAATTTCTAACACAAGCATCTCTTCTAAGTCTATTAGGAATATGTAGGGAGTGGCCAGGGAGTAGTCTTTACAGTAAGGAAGATATTCCAAGTTATATATGTTCCATGTCTTTTTGACACAGTAGGAGATTTTCTGATATTGTTAGTTTTTCCAGTGAAAGAATCTTTTTGTTGTTGTTGTTTTTTTGTTCTGTCATGAGGTTTGAATTCAGGGCTTGGGTGCTGTCCCTGAGCTTTTGTGCTCAAGGCTAGCACTCTACCAATTTGAGCCATAATGCCACTTCCAGCTTTCTGGTAGTTAATTGGAGGTAAGAGTCTCATCGAAGTTGTTCCTGTCTGGGCTGGCTTTGAATTGGGGTCCTCAGATCTCAGCCTCCTGAATAGCTAGGATTACAGGTGTGAGCCACCAGCATCCAGCCAGTGAAGGATTCTTGATGGAACAAAGCAAATAAACAAACAAAATGGAGGATTTGATTTGTTTGACCATTCCATTTTATGTTAGAAATGACTAAATTGTATTCTTGTCATTTACATGGTTTGGGGGACATAAGTTGAGTTAGACCAAGAGTCTGAAACTTTGATCTCCTGAACAAATCTAGCCATGAAGCTTACATACACAGAAACAGTGCTACTTATGGAAGTGTAGTGGCTGGAATGTAGAAGTTTTACATCCAAGGAAGTGAACTCCTGAGTCACCTCCTTATGCAAATGATTTCATAGTAATTGCTGGACTTCTCTTCCCATCACTGCAAATGTGTGGTAACTCAGCTTCCCCCTGGGGAGTTTACTCATCATGGGGTTTTAAAGGTGAGGAATTTTAAAACTGAAATTTGAAAGGGTGTACTTTGGGGTTAACTCAATTGTCACTATTACTTTGGGTGTTATTACATCTTTCCTGAGTAGCTAGGATTATAGGTGTGAGCCACCAACACCCAGCTAGGTATCGAACTTTCAATTGAAAATGTTTTTCTTTAATCACTGAACTTAATATAGTTTTGGGAATTTTCATTCAGGGAAAATGAGATGGCCATTTAATACTGTCAGAAGCTTTAATGAGATCGAACAACTGAAAGAACAAAGTATTGCGTAGTTATCCTTATAAAGCTATTTTAGCCGGGTACTGGTAGGTCGCCTGTAATCCTAGCTACTCAGGCGGCTGAGATCTGAGGATCACAGTTCAAAGCCAGCCCAGACAGGAAACTCTGTGAGACTCTTTTCTCCAATAAACCACTAGAAAACTGGAAGTGGTGCTATAGCTCAAGCGGCAGTGCGCTTGCCTTGAGCTGAAGAGCTGAGGGACAGCACCCAAGCCCAGAGTTCAAGCCCCATGATTGACAAAAAAAAAAAAAAGCTATTTTAATAACATGGATCAGAGATTAACTGTTATTCTCCACCAATTACATTCCTCCCCTAAGAAACTCCAGCTCTATTTAAGTATTCTCTATAACATCTATCTTTATCTAATATGTTGGGTAGTATATCATGTGATGTATTTTGATTACTGTCCCTTTCCTCCTCCTAGAACATAAACTCTACAAAGCCAGGGATTTTTGTCTGTTTTATTATCAGATATATTTTTTATTATCATATATATTTATATCATATATAGTAGAGTAATAGTGTGACATGAACACATAAAAAGTATTTGTTGAATGAGTGAATGATTTCCTCAAGTAAAACTGGCCTAACATTCTTGAAACATGAACATAAAAAAGTTGAAAATTTATTTCTAAGGCTGTTCAGGAACTGTCAGTACTTTCTTAGGAAGAGGAGGAGCAATTCTATTATTACTGCTGCTCCTACTACTGCTAGCAAGAAGATATTGACACTAATGTTGCACTTGGTATGTGTTAGGCCCTGTATTAAGCTTTTTGCTCATATTATACGTTTGTTTACTCTTCAACTTGACTAGGTCCTTCATTACATCTAAGATGAGTATTTTTTTGCATTTTACTACACTTAAAATGTTAATGTGTCTTTCAATATAAGGTATCTTAGAGTCAATGTTACATTGCATTATCCTTCCCATTTTAATAATGAGGAAATGATATTTGAAGGTTAAGCAGTTTACTAAAGTCCATCCAGTTTGTAAGTGGCAAAGTGAGTTTCTAAACTCAGGCAGCCTGACTTTGAAGTGTTTGCCCTCAAGAACTGTATTTTTCTGCCTATTTTGCACTTCTGGAGTCTGTAGCAAGTTGTACAATGGTTTAAAAAGTAGTAAGCATTTATTGGTATTGAACCAATGTAGGTGGTCAACAAACATTGCCCATCTGCTAAACCAGGGATTTGCAAAAAGTTTTGGTTACCTACCCTATCTAAGACCATTTTAAGGTAGTGTGTATATAACTGTACACTATATAACTATAGGATGTATATAAATATACTTCATATAATATACAAATTGTGTCAAGAGAAATTGCCATTCTGTAAGACAAAAGAATATAATTATCATCAGTTTCATATGGATTGTATGAAATCTAATGCATCAATCATAAGTGTTTTTTTTTTTCCTATCATGGGGCTTCAACTCAGGGCCTGAGCACTGTCCTTGAACTCTTTTTTTTTTGCTCAAAGCTAGCACTTTACTATTTTTTCTTTTTGGACAGTCCTGGGGTTTGAACTCAGGGCTTAGGCACTGTTCCTGAGCTTCTTTTGCTCAAGGTTAGCACTCTACCACTTAAGCCACAGCACTACTTCTGGCTTTTTCTGTGTATGTGGTACTGAGGAGTCAAACCCAGGGCTTCATGCATGCAAGGCAAGCACT